AAACCAAATACAGGACGAAGTATTTGCAAATGTGTATATTCTAAAACCTTTGCAAACTATACCCTTTTTTTTTTCTTTTGAAAAAATGTTTTTAAACGTATTTGTGCATTTGTGTTCCGTCACAATTTAATGTGATATAATGGAGTAAACGAGCTAGGCTCGAGTTTTTGTTCAGCAGAATCGAGCCCGACATCAATATTAACGAGCAGAACTTAAATTTTAAAGAGTTCAACCATAAAAATTGCAAAAATTTTATACTTTTGAGTTTCAACGAGTCGAATTGACTAAAAGAACTTGAGCGATAAACGAGTCGAGCTCTAGCTTTAACAAATTGAGCTCACAAAAAAGTTAGTTTCGTTCAACGATTCTGAGAGGGAGTACAAATATTTATAATCAAATTTCTTCCAAGATTTATTAATAAGATGCAATACTTGTTTTTTATTTATACTCCTATATTTTTTTTATTTTTTTTTTGGATAGAGGTACTGAATTTATAGTAAAAAAACTTGCAATTCCAATAATTTAGGGTAGCAATGAGTATGGTGGCAGAATGTGCTGTGGCAATCTAGTTCCCGCAGTTATTTTGATGTGACAACGAGGAGAAAAATATATATTTTTTTTTGCTGATAAAAAGCATGAAAATATTTAATAATAAATAATGCACCTTCCAAGCTGCAAGATTTTATTTTATTTTGTTCTTTCTTTTCACAGTGCAAACATTGGAAAATATTACATGGAATGAATTTAATAGGACCACTTTTATCCCTGCTGTGTATTTATTGATGTCACAGAGCACATTCACTCAACCTGCTGTTCTTGCAATCTATCATGACCCAGACTAATTTATTAAACATAATAATAATAAAATTTAGAATAAAAAAGTCATTTTTGTTTAGTGCTTAAAGAAAACAAAATAAAAATTCATTTATATTGATGAAGGTGTGTCTACAATCTACAGGGGTGAAACTATATGTATTACTAGGGGGCAATTGTCCCCCTCAAATTTTTTTTTTATTATTATAATTAAAAATTTTAATTTATTTCTCTCTTAAATTATTATTTTACATTCTCAAATTTTTTGTCGTATCTTTTGTCTCCTCTCAATTATTTTCCTAGTTTCGCCCTGACAATCTACAGCCCAAAATGTTGTTTTGTCACTGTAATTTTCCAATCTTTTTCTTTTTCTTTTCTTTTATTGTACTAAACAGTAACTATATTGTGTCCTTAAATTCTCCAAACTGGGAAATTGATATTTGTTTTTAATAATAGAATCTATATATATATAATAAGAATTACTATTTACCAAAAATAGTAAGAAGAAAAATCTATATATATATAATAAGAATTACTATTACCAAAAATAGTAAGAAGAAAAATCTGGCAACATTAATTGCATATCATTTCGGGCAAATTTTGTTTTATTTTTTATTTATTAAATGAGAAACATTTAAATATGCCTTTAATCACGGATACTTAATTTTGGTAACCAAATTGCTCAATTTTGATACAAATAATGCTTTTAAAAATTTGAGTTTTATTTTAATACCAATCTTTTTTAAAATTAATTGATATCAACATTCATTAATTTGGGCAAAAAAAATTGCAAGTTCATAACCCATAATAATTGTGTGAAATTCATCAAAATCAATGATATCACACAATTAATTTTTAGATTTGTATGTTTTCAGTCGAGTTGAGTTTTGAAAGAAAAAAATCATTTGAATGTCAAAAAAATTTTGTGTAACAAAATAATTTTGCCGATAAAAAAATTAAAACTCCACATTTATTTTTCGGGCAAAACAACTCAAATTAATAAAATCTACCGGCGCACACTCAAATTAGAAGGATTCTTTTGATTAATTGTTAAAACCAAAAAATTCGAACATAAAACTATAAAAATCGACAATAAAAACCCTCAAATTGAACAATCCATATTTTGTTTCATGCAAAACACCTAAAATTAATTTGAAGCATCGATTAACTGAAACTAAAAGAGAATATGTATTTATAAGGCCCTCAGTGTTTGAACGGAAAAGTTGGAAGATCGATGAAAAAAGACAAAAGAAGAAGCTGGAAGCGGCATAAAATGAACGAAGAAATGAAGCCCTTGGTCCAATAATTTTACTGTTTATACAATGTTCAGTGTAATCTAGACCGTCGATTTCCGTTGACTAATCTGGATCATTGAATTATTTTTTCTGTTTTGTTTGGGCCGATATGAACTTTCGAAGCCAACATTATTTGGGCCGATATGAATTTTTTGAAGCCAACATTTTTCAAAAACATTATTATTTTACAAGCCCAACATGATTAATATAAATAATTACACGTATCTTATAATAAGTATTTGTTAAGTTTAATTATAATGAATGATCAATGCTTTATTATATAATTCGAATTTAAATACAAAATCGACTTTAAAAAGGACGAAAATAATAAAGCTCCGTGCATCGCACAGGTACTATACTAGTTTTACAAAAACATATATGCAAATGTCATGTGCTCTTTCTTTGCTGTGGTGTTT